TAGTAGAGCAGGTAGCTGTATCAGTTCATCACAGGACTAGGGAGCAGTTTATTACATTTAGAGCCCAATTCTGAGACACTTGTAAATCATCCCTTGCAGTGGGGCTGCGCTTACACTGCAAGGGTTATTATTATTATTATACAGGATTTATGGCGCCAACAGGTTGCTCAGCGCTTTACAATATAACGGGAGACAATACAGAACAATACAGTTCAATACAAGAGGGAAAGGAGGGCCCTGATCCTTGGAGCTTACAATCTAGGGTTAATTGCTTGTTTATTCTAGTTGAGAGTAAAAGCACTTTTATTTAACTGATCCTCTGCTCCCTTGGCAGGTGGTTCCACTCCATGCTCTGGCAGTGGACCGTCCCTCAGCGTCATCACCTTCAATGCAGGGCTATGGGTACTACATTGGTCTTGATGATGTCAGGACCTTAGGTGCTGGGCCTTGAGGAGGGGGGGGGGACACTATGGGAACTGGGCAAGCAACATGGAGGATTGGGTAAGTAAATCAACTTTAACAAGTTCCCTAGACCTAAATGCGCAATTAACCCCTGCAATGCGGGTACAAGCTCACTGGAAGGGATAGATTTCAAGTTTCCAGGCATTGGGCTTTAAATTGAAGTTTAATCTAGCCAAAACTTTCTGGTTTTACCAGGTTGGAAATCCGCTGCTGAGAGGGGTTTCAGCCTACCCCTACTATACTTTAAATATATAATTTCTGTGTTGATGTTGGAAATTTTGCCTCACTTCCTGCCTAGTAAAACCATTGCACTGGGGCAGTAAGTGAGGTGAAAAATCTCCAGAGCTCCGGATGGCAGTAAGAATTGAAAAGGGTTCTTATCCTTCCCCACTCTATCCAAAACAAAAAAAAAAATACACTTCACATCCACTTTAATCAGCTATGAAATTGAATAAATTGACATTAAAGTTGGTCATAAACAACTCCCTGGTCTGGAGGTGATGTAATATGTCTCTGCCAGAAGAAATGATCATAAAGGTTAGAAAATGTTATCCAATGGCTTTCACTACCCCCCATGAAAGCTGGGACTGCAGACTGGCACCTTCCCCCTCTACACTTCTTGCCTAAACATTTGGATGAACCAAAAGGTTTTTGCTGCAATTAAGCCAAAAGGCTTTGTAAAATGACTGGACTGTGCCTCCAGGTCTGCCTGTTCTTTGATGTCTATGGTCACTTTCTCAGTAGAGATTTACAATAATGCCTGACAATACTGTCATTCAATGATCTCCTGAATGAAAAAACAGCAATACCACTTTAAAACCTGTTCCTTTCACAGTCTAAAATTCAACAATATTTTCTTTTTTGTGCAAATGTTTGAAAGTTTCTGAAAAAAACAAATAGAGCATAAATGAACTAATGGTACATGCAAGAAATTCCATGTTACATGCAATAGATACCAACGCGTTTCAACTCCCGTTGAGTCCTCTTCAGGGGTTAAACCGCATGACAGCCATGCAAGTAAGATGATGCACTACGATGTAAATGCAGAAGCATGATCAAAACAATTGCATAATTCTGCTTTGCATTTGATAATGCTTTTGTGTTTACATCATAGTGCATCATCTTACGTGTACCATGGGATTTTTGCATGTACCATTGGTTCATTTTTGTTGTATTTATCTTTTTGAGAAACTTTTAAACATTTATTCAAATACATTTTTTATTTTTTTATTGTTTTGTCTTCAGTGCCTTTAAAGCCCCAGCCCAATTTTTTTTTTTAATTCTCTATTTCTCAGATTGTGGGATGTGGCACTGCCTATATAAGTGGATCCAATCAACAAATGTAGTTTCTTTCACAGTCATTGAGGCATACAGGATTCAGAGACTTTTGGATTATACTGCAGGCAACAGGAGGGTTGAGAGACACACAAAAAATGGCCTTCCTGGTGTAACCCCTCCCACTCCCTGATGTCATTTCTCTGAGAAAATGTTAACCTTTTTTATTAGGCATTTTGCTTAGTTTTCTCAAGATTATTTTTTCTTCAATCAAGACTTCACTACTGACCGCTTGGGTTAGTCTCTTTATGCAGCTATCCAGATCAGCACATCATCCGCAATAGCTTTGGAGGCTGTACTTGACCTCCTTGATTGGAAAATTGCAGAGCCTGCCTAGTATGGATGAACTGGGGGAGGGGAGTTGTCTTCAGAGAGTGATTAATATATTGGAAGATACTTCACATCCTGGTAATGGTCTGTATACATTGCTGCTGTCTGGTAGGCAGTATAGAAGTATTGGCTCTCGTACCAAAAGGTTGCGGAATAGCTTCTTTCCTCGATCTGTGCGGCTCTTGAACCCTAGAGATCTTGTGGAATAAATGGATTGGGAGTTATGTTTTTATTATGGTATGTATGTTGTTTTTGGTTAAGTGTTTTTATGTTGAGTGTGGAATTTATTTTTTTAATGTAAGGGAGCTATGACAGTGTTTCATTTTATGATTGTTACTCTGATTATTAATGGGACCTTCAGGCATGCTCTGCAATGTGGAGCTTTCCAGACCTATGTTTACTGTGTTAATCAGCCATGGAGCACTTTTTAGGGCCAGGGCTGTAGCATAGCCTCTGGTGTGACCCAGTCTCTGTAGTACTCATTTACAACTGAGCATTTTGTTTCTTGATATTACAGAACACTCGGCATTAAAAATGTCTGAAATGGAGCCTGTTCACACCTGAGTGCTCAGGCGCCTGTTGCTCAAAAAAAGTACAGGAGCTTCTTTTCAGGCAGATTTGGGTGTTTTTGGCCCAACAGACTTCAATAGAAGCACCTGCAAAAACACGGGACGCACGTTTTTAGGCAAACCCGAAATAAAAGTTTGTGGAACTAAAAATAGGCAATCCTACCCAAAGAAGCTCTTGTACAGCAAGCCACCCCTAAAATGTGAGGAAAAACATCCAAAACAAAAACCTGCCTTTGAAATCACCTGAATATGCCATGTTTAAGTGTGTATGTGGTCTTATGAGAAAGCCACTTGGGATTTTTTTTTATTAGAATTATTGGGTGCCATTATTCTCTTTTTTTAAAAAAAAAAAAAGAATTGAGTGCTGCGTTACTAGGCAGTGTGTTGCACGTGTGTATTCCACGCTCTGTTCCCACCATTCATTGTGCGAGAAACATGCAGTGTCACCTCAATTAGTCCTTGCTGCTGCCTACAGTGATCTAGTCACTTCCGCCTATTTGAACCTTTCCTGCTCTTAGCAACAGGTTTGCGAGTACCCTGTGTTTTACCTGGTGCTCTGAGCGAGCCAAACCCAAGGGGAAAAGCTCTGCTGTACCATGTCCCTCTAGTTCAGTGGTTCTCAACCTTTCTAATGCCGCGACCCCTTAATACAGTTCCTCATGTTGTGGTGACCCCCAACCATAAAATTATTTTCGTTGCTACTTCATAACTGTAATTTTGCAGTGGGAGGACTAGTGCCACATCATTGGTGTCAGTGGAAGGAGTAGTGCCCCATCACTGATGTCAGTGGGATGAATAGTGCCCCATCGTTGGTGTCAGTGGGAGGAATAGTGCCCCATCGTTGGTGTCAGTGGTGGGGAATAGTGCCCCATTGTTGGTGTCAGTGGGGGGAATAGTGCCCCATCGTTGGTGTCAGTGGGGGGAATAGTGCCCCATCGTTGGTGTCAGTGGGGGGGGGGATAGTGCCCCATCGTTGGTGTCAGTGGGGGGAATAGTGCCCCATCGTTGGTGTCAGTGGGGGGAATAGTGCCCCATCGTTGGAGTCAGTGGGCGGAATAGTGCCTCATCGTTGGTGTCAGTGGGAGGAATAGTGCCCCCATCATTGGTGTCAGTGGGAGGAATAGTGCCCCATCATTGGTGTCAGTGGGAGGAATAGTGCCCCATCATTGGTGTCAGTGGGAGGAATAGTGCCCCATAGTGCATTGGTGTCAGTGGGAGGAATAGTGCCCCATCATTGGTGTCAGTGGGAGGAATAGTGCCCCATCATTGGTGTCAGTGGGAGGAATAGTGCCCCATCATTGGTGTCAGTGGGAGGAATAGTGCCCCATCATTGGTGTCAGTGGGAGGAATAGTGCCCCATCATTGGTGTCAGTGGGAGGAATAGTGCCCCATCATTGGTGTCAGTGGGAGGAATAGTGCCCCATCATTGGTGTCAGTGGGAGGAATAGTGCCCCATCATTGGTGTCAGTGGGAGGAATAGTGCCCCATCATTGGTGTCAGTGGGAGGAATAGTGCCCCATCATTGGTGTCAGTGGGGGGAATAGTGCCCCATCATTGGGGAGGAATGTCAGGTGGGGGGGAATAGTGCCCCCATCATTGGTGTCAGTGGGGGAATAGTGCCCCATCATTGGTGTCAGTAGGGGGAATAGTGCCCCATCATTGGTGTCAGTGGGAGGAATAGTGCCCCATCATTGGTGTCAGTGGGAGGAATAGTGCCCCATCATTGGTGTCAGTGTGGTGGAGGGGGAAATAGTGCCCCATCTTTGGGGTCAGGGGGGGGAATAGTGCCCCATCATTGTTGGTGTCGGTGGGGGGAGGAATAGTGCCCCATCATTGGTGTCAGTGGGGGAATAGTGCCCCATCATTGGTGTCAGTGGGGGGAATAGTGCCCCATCATTGGTGTCAGTGGGAGGAATAGTGCCCCATCATTGGTGTCAGTCAGTGGGAGGAATAGTGCCCCATCATTGGTGTCAGTGGGAGGAATAGTGCCCCATCATTGATGTCAGTGTGGTGGAGGGGGAAATAGTGCCCCATCTTTGGGGTCAGGGGGGGGAATAGTGCCGCATCGTTGGTGTCGGTGGAGGGAGGGGAATAGTGCCCCATTCTTGGTGTCAGTGGGGGGAGGAATAGTGCCCCATCGTTGGTGTCAGTGGGGGGGGAAGAATAGTGCCCCATCGTTGGTGTCAGTGGGGGGGAAGAATAGTGCCCCATCGTTGGTGTCAGTGGGGGGGAGGAATAGTGCCCCATCGTTGGTGTCAGTGGGGGGGAGGAATAGTGCCCCATCGTTGTTGGTGTCAGTGCGGGGGGGGAGGAAATAGTGCCCCATCATTGGTGTCAGTGGGAGAAATAGTGCCCCATTGTTGGTATTAGTGACACAAATGATGGGGCACTATTCCTCCCACTGACACCAATGATACTTACCTTGCTGACCCCTGCTCCAGCCTGGGCTCGCTCTCTCACTTACCTGTCAGCTGTCTTCCTTCTCTGGCCGCTCTCCTCTTCACTTACTCCGGCAGTTCCCTCGATCTTCTTAGATCTACGCGCGCTGCCGCTCGGCGGCTCCTCTCCAAGCTCCACTTCCTCGCCGGTGATTGGCCGCCTGTGTGCCTCTCCTGAGCTACAGTTCTGGTGGCCAATCAGCGGCGAGGAGGCGGAGTTGTTGAGGGATCCCGGAGGTGTGGCCAGGTGACAGGGCAGCGTGTCATCCCACCCACACATCGACTGAGTCAGAGGAGCGGTGTCTCGGTTCCTAAGACCATCGGAAATATGTGTTTTCCGATGGTCTTAGGCGACCCCTGGGAAATGGTCGTTCGACCCCCAAAGGGGTCGCGACCCCCAGGTTGAGAACCGCTGCTCTAGTTTACAGTCCATCAACCATTTTGGGACAGCTTGAAATGCTCCCTCTCAAAAGCCGGCCATAAATGGATTGAATCTTAGCTGGTTCAGCAGGGACCGGCTGGCATTCAGCCAATCTATGGATAGGCTGATTGTACTGAAGTCGATCCATCGATCGATTTCAGTACAGCCAGCCCTGTTGGGTTGGGCTACAGGAGAGGACCTCTCAACCCCTGCTTCCATTAGGAAGACAGACTGTCTTTGTAACCCAGATGGTCCCTATGAAAGGAGAACCAGCTTCTTGATTCACCACTTCTTATTGGTTCAGACAGATTATTGTCCAAGCTTAGTGTTAAGGATCGGTTTTTACCAGGTACATGTCGATGTCCAGGTACGCTGTACTGGTCTCTGAGTGCTTCTTGGAAATGTTAGCATCAGGCAATTGCTTCCCAGCTTTGCAAGTCACCTGGTCTTCTGTTCTTCAAGTTGAACTGCTTTTGGATTTACCAAATGTCCCTGAATCTTGTGTCTCTCAATGAATGAGAAAGAGAAAATAGTATTTTTGTACTCCCCATAAAATCCTTTTCTTGGTGCTTATTGAGGGACTCGGGTCCCACCCATCTGTGTTTATGGTCTTGCTCTCAGCGCTGCTTTCTTACAAAACGGAGGCACACTGGTAATGTCAGGGATTGTATTAAACTGGTCACTGTTTTCTTGTTTGCCAGTGTTCAAATCCTCCTCTAGCCGGCAGTATAACCCAAATGTCTCTGAAAACTGTCCCTCAATGGACTCAAAGAAAAGTACAAAAATCCTATTTTTTCCTGACCTTGTTTAAAGTACCCTTACCATTCTTCTTTCAAAGAAAAAATTCAACCATTAATATCATGATAGTTATTATGTACGTGTGTTGTCTATGTTGTAATTTTGCCAGATGCGAATTAAAGCTCAACTGGACTTTCGGTTTTAAATCAGCTAAATACATTCAAGCTGCACTAAAACAAAATGGGTAATAAAAAAATCTTATTGTTTTTCTTTAAAAAGCAGCCACAGTCAGAGTAGAAAAGCCTGTCTGCTGCCAGAATGTTGGACCTTTAGGGCTTTACACTTGTTGGACTTTAACACACATTAAAGCACCTACCACTTCAACATGCTTTTTTGTTGTGGTTTTTATTCTTCGGTGATGCTTTGGTGAGGATTTTTTTAAGCTTTAATGAATCTTGGCAAATGCCCTTTTATGTCTGATGATTTTTTATTTGTTTTAAAGGGGCCCAGTAGAACCCCAGCTTAGTAGTATCCCCACTCAGCAGATCTCTATCTCATTAGTACCTCTGTTCAGCAGATCCCGAGCTCATCAGTACCCTCGTTCAGCAGATCCCCCTGCTCAGTAGTGACCCTCAGCTCTGCTGATTCCCCATTCAGTAGTAACCCCCAGATCTGCTGATCTTCTGGTTTGCTGATCCTCCTATTTTTCTTTTCCCTGCTCACCTCCCGCTATATTGCTCCCACGCTGCTCACAACAGCTCTGCTGATCCTCTACAGCTCAGTTCTCTCTCCAGTTCCAGCTCACCTTCCGCTATAGCGTTCCCATGTTGCACAACATGTGTGCTGTCTGTTAGTTGCTGCAATCCAGTCTGGACCCCGCTCACCTTCCTGCTGCTCCACACTGCACACCAGATGTGCCGTCTTCAGCGGACACTTTCAGAATATATACACATGAACCCGAAGTGACTGCTGATGGTGTCTTTTCGGTTCGCTTGTTGGTTTACCAGTGCATTCTGGGATATCTCATATCTGCAATACCTACAAAGCAAAGCTAAAGCTGAATAAAATCCTCTCAAAAGCTGCAGGTGCTGTAAGTGAGCTTTGTCATAGACTTCTATGAAGGCTTTGAAAACACTTTGAAGCACCAAGAAAGTGACATGGGGTATAATATTTGAAGCAAAGTAAAGCAAAAACAACGTGTAAACAGGACTGTAAGCTTACCCCTACATTTAGTGACTGGGGCTTTGATTGGCATTCAGAGTGCTTTAAAAAAGTGTGTCCAGTGCCACATTTTGAAGCAAGTGTAAACGAGCTCCTAAAGTGATCCCTGTAAAGGTCCAACATGTCCACAGTGCTAGAGCTGTCCAATTTGCGCGGAGTATGGGCTTGTAGCGCTTTTGTACATATGTTTTTATTTTCTTTCTTTTAAAATAAACAGTTATGAATAATTATTATTTTGTCAGATAAATCTAAAATATTGCATAATAATATTTTGGATTTTTTCCCTTGAGTCAGTAGATAAACTCTTTATACTGCTTTCTGGGAACTTCTTAGCTTCTTTGTTGTAAAAATGTTTATAGATATCAGTAGCTCAAGCTGAAATTTACACACGGGGGAATGGGTCAGAGTGGTGTCCCTTTTTGTTCTCATTTTTCCTCTGAAATCGCCCAAAGTTTAATGATCGATATCCTGCCTTAAAGGATAAATTCACCTTTGGGAACATGTTACATGTTCCCAGAGGCGTCCCTAGGGTTTGTGTCACCCGGTGCGGTAAACTTGGTGACACCCCCTCTGACGATCCCCGCAGAATGGAGCGGATCTGCGGATTGAGCATAATGGATCGGACTCTGATCCATTATGCTCAATCTACAGATCCGATCCATCCTGCGGGGATCGTCGGCTTTCTTTACAACTTACCTTTTATTGGAGTGGGTCCAGTGTCCCCCCGTATAGGTTGCATGCCGATGATCCCCACAGGATGGTTCGGATCTGAGGATTGAGCATAATGGATCAGAGTCCGATCCATTATGCTCCCCAATCCGCAGATCCGATCCATCCTGCGGGGGTCGGCGGCATTCAACCTATACGGGGTGACACTGGACCGAAAAAACAAACAGTCATACTCACCTAGGTGGATGCAGCATCAATCCTTCATGCATCTGTCCCCTCTCAGCTCTGAGACTGAGAATTGAACGATCAAATACTGCTGAACACTCAATTCTTGGTCTTCAGTGAGCAGATTGCCGGTGACTGTCAGTCACCAGCTCTCTGCTCTCCTCCCCCCCAGTGCTCACTGGAGCACTGAGCTGTGAAGAAGTTGGGAACAGCTGGTTCAGGCCCTCAGCGGCTCTCTGAGAGAACTGCTGGTCCAGACATTTGGGTGGATCCAGACTTTAAAGTTGGAATCTTTCCAGAGTGTGGACCAGCTGAGTGACCCACTTTTGGCCGAAAAGGGTCACAGGAGTGCAGAAATAAGTGCACTGTGATCCATAGGAGAAGTATAGCCAAAACAGCTTTGGCCATGCTTCTTTAAAAATTCTGGACAAGCAAAAAAAGTTTGTTTTTTTTTCTGTCCCGTCTCACCACATATTCCTCCAATCTTAACTTTATTTAGCCTGGGTTCACACTGATGCAGTGTGGAATTCGCATCGGTTTCTGTGCGAATTCCACACCGCATCACAATGCCACCCCATTCATGCAAACCGCTGCAGGTGTGTATGTTAAGTTAACAACACCCCGAAATCGGTCCACAAAACGTGGTGCGATGTGCAGAATCGGATCACATAGGTGTAAATACCCGTACAATCCGTCTCTAGTGCGGACCAAAAAAAGTGTCCTGCTCCTTTTTGGTGTGGATGCAGTGCGATTTGAGCCATACCAAATGTATGGCTCAAGTCGCACTGCACAGAATTCGCATGTGGTTTGCACAGGAATACAGTGCGGTTCCTGTGCGAAACACATGCGATATGCCACACCGCACAAGTGTGAACCCGGGCTTAAGAGCTATGACCACCAGAAGAATCTGCACATGCAACACTTCTGGAAGTGTCGGATTCTGTGTCTCGCTTCGCTCAGTGGTTTCTTCCACTGACCCCTATGTCACTACTGTAACCTGCAGAGCAGGGGCGGACTGACAACTCATGGGGTCCCCGGGCACTAGGGGATCATGGGGCCCCTGTGTCCTTGCCCAAACTTCAAAAAGCCTATGAAAAAGGTACCAGGAGCATCTCATGGGGCCCCCTACTGACCCCGGGCCCTCGGCAGTGCCCGAGTTTCCAAATGGTCAGTCTGCCCCTGCTGCAGAGGCAAAGGAGCCAGAAGAAGGTGGTGGTTTTTGATGTGGAGAGCCTTTTGCTCTGTTAGAGAGTGAAGATTGAAGGAACAGGCAGCAGGATAGGAGAGTATTAACCCTCTGCTTTTGCAGTTCCTGCTAGTAATCTGTAATATTTTTTTATTTTTGTTCTTGGGTTTAGTTATGGTTTTTAAACAAAAAATAATTCCTGCAACAGCACTGCAGCCTCCATCAGTGTCTTTGTCAATCAACATTTCAGTGTCCGATGCCTGTTTCCCCAGCCATGTCCTGTGGTTCCTTCCTCTGCCCCATATGTTACTGCTGTGTCTTCTAATGACAAAGTGGACAGAAGATGGAACCACAGGTGGTGGCAGGAAACACAAGCACCCCCAGACCATTTTTTTTTTATTAGCTCTCAGGAACCTCCAATGCTGTTTTCATATATATTGATATATTTGGGTTCTTTTTCTTATT